CTCCCACAAAGGAGGCCACACCCACAGAGTAGGTTCGAACAATTTTTGAAACCCACCACTGGTAAGTAGCTAAGATGCTGAGCTTGTCGATCAGAAAGGTTGGCACTTCAGCGGTTCGAATCCCTAGCGCCACGTAATGGAGTGACCTCCTGATACTGGTCCCAGCTTCTGCCAACCTAGCTGGTTGGTTGGTTTCTACACTTATTATTCCAAGAGTTGACTCCTCGGCCATTCTTCATGAACACATGAGTTCACGTGTTCATCCCATTTGCAAAGCCACTCACCCGTAGCAATTCTTCCGGGAGGTCTCCTCCCTCGTTAATCCCTCTGTTCATAGATATAAACCTCTCCGCTGTTGGCTTGTCTCTCACGTTGTGGTTGTGTAGACTGGTGTTCAACATGATGATTGCAAAGGAGAGGACGTAGCAGGTATCTAGAGAATGGAAGATCAAAGCAGAAGGTTTGTTCCGCACAGCTGCTTGTAAAAACCAGTCTCTGGCAAATATATATGTTCCAGAGTTATGCTGGAACACACACACACACGGCCGTGTGTGCATTTGTGTATGTTTCAGCATAACTCTGGAACGCCTCAAGCAATTTCAGCCAAACTTGTTACACAGATGACTTACTCTCTGGAAAAAAAATACTGCACGGGAAAGACACCCTTTGCATCCCACATGTGTGTTCTGTTAAGATACAGCTTGTTGTGCCTTAAAATGGCTTCTACCGTACTGCCTTAAAATGAATTCTAGTGTACAGCGCTGTGGAATTGCCATGGTAACAGTTTCACGGTACTTCACAAGGGGGCTCCCTCTAGTAAGAAGGAAAATCCAACATTAGAATTTGCGGCAACATTCATGGAAGGAGGGTTGGGATAAATAAATACCCGGGGAACGCCGGGTTATCAACTAGTTTGGAATAAAGTAAACAACTACATTCTCCTCTCTCAAGGACCCCCGGCAGAGAGAAAAGACATCCGGCCAGAGTTATCTTGAACTTGGGACACAACTCTCTCTGGCACTTAGCCAAGAAGGAAAATTGAATTTAAAACTGGATTTCAGCTTTGTTCGCGTTAAATGACTACAGAGAACCCTCAACTCCCCGCCACAACTGAGTCCAAAATTTCCTTGCTAATCTAAACCGCTGTTGAGTGAGTTTTGCCCTCGATTTTACGACCTTTCTTGCCACCGTTGTTAAGTGAATCACTTCAGCAGTTAAGTTAGTAACCTGGTTGTTAAGCGAATCAGGGAATCCCCATGGACTTGGCTTGTCAGAGGTCGCAAAAGAGGATCACGTGACACCCCCCCTACCCCCCCAGGACGAAGCAACGGTCATAAGTATGAACCTGGTTGCCAAGCGTCTGAATTTTGATCCGGTAATCTTGGGGATGCTCCCAAGGTGAAAAATGGTCGTAAGTCCCTTTTCCCGTGCCGTCATAACTTTGAACGGTCACTAAATGAATTGTAGAAAGTTGAGGATTACTTGCATGCGACCAATTTCTCTGCCTTCCAATCCCAGTTGCTCTAAAGAGGTTTACAAAAACTTCCCAAAACAAACCTTCAATAAAGGTAAAAGTTCCCCTCCCACATATCTGCTAGTCGTTCCCGACTCTAGGGGGCGGTGCTCATCTCCGTTTCTAAGCCGAAGAGCCAGCGCTGTCCGAAGACGTCTCTG